AACACATTAAAAAAAAGTGTTGTCAGTTGTGTACAGTGTTTCGGTGATGAAAAAAAATCTAAATCAAAAACCTTCTTAATTTAAAAATAAATGTTATTTTAGAATCTCAAGTAACTCCACATCACTGTTATTAAACCTTTTTTAAAAAAATGTCAAAATGAATTTGCTTTTTTGACAGAGTCTATTTTGCAGACTGTTGCGGTAATGAGATTTTTTTATTACTTGTTTTGGAAATTATGCTCAAAAAGGTACTAAATGATATGTATATCATTTTAAATTAATGTTGACAAATACTCCAGACTTTGCTTCAGTTATCTGCAAAAACAAATGTAAACATTTTTTAAAAATTCATGCTTGAAAATGTTTAAACAATGTTTTCGTGAGAATCACCCTATTGCTGAGAGTGTAAGGAAGTTTACATTTTTCTCTGAGTATTTTCTCTGTGTGCAACAGAGGAAAGAATCTCAGGCCCTGTTCACATGAATATGAGTATTTTCAAGACCACAGCTTTTCCTACACACTTTGGTCGTTCATCCACATTCAAATGGAGTAGGGGATCACTGAAACTAAAACTTTTTAAAAGCTCAAAAAATATCAGGGTCTGTGTAGTCATGCAGTTAATTTGCAGCTGGTTTCTTCAGTTGTTTGTGTTGTGACTGATTTGCAGCTGGTTTCTTTATTTGTTTGTGTTGTGACTGATTTGCAGCTGGTTTCTTCAGTTGTTTGTGTTGTGACTGATTTGCAGCTGGTTTCTTCAGTTGTTTGTGTTGTGACTGATTTGCAGCTCATTTCTTCAGTTGTTTGTGCTGTGACTGATTTGCAAAACGTGTGCTGTCAAACCGATGACGATTGTTTCTTTGTTTGCTGGTGTCTTTTGTAATTGCATGTGCTTTCTTAAATTTCTTAAATTGCAGCGCGTTAAGCTCTTTCACCCACCGTACTTATAACATGTATAACATGTTTCGGAACAGATGTGTCATGTCAGAATGCAGTGCTATTTTGACAGACAACTGTAATTCGTAATAATAACTATTTTTTGAGGCTTCTGATTGGCCAACATGACTTTACTTCATAAGACGATTTAGTGGTTTCATGTGGACGAAGATAAAATCTGTGTTTGTGTGGACATGGCCTCAAACTGGTCTGAATCAAGCAGAGGGTGAGTAAATAATAGAATTTTTCATTTTTGGATGAACTTGATTTTTTTGAGCAAGATGCTAATGGTCTAACCCAATTCAATAATGCTAAGCTAAGCTGAAAGTGCTCCTGCCAGAGATTGGCTGAATGGATTCGAAAATAAAACACAACTCTTTAATCATACACTGTATAGTTCATTTAAGATAAATGTACCCTAATCTAAAGAAAAACAGTGCTACATGTTACATTAGTCATTTCATGTAGACTTTCCATGTTCATTTAGCGTATACTTTTACAAAATGTTCTGATCTGAATACAGTTGCATCAGTAAGAGGCTAATTTGCTGTGTCTGCATGTCATCAGTGGGCTGTGTTTCAACTGTACTAGAAGAATCCCTGTAACAAAGCCAATTTTGCTGGTCACTGTTGTGTTGATGACGAACACAAAAGCTACTGCCTGATCCAGCAGGATTCCACTCAGCTCTGACATCCCTTCACAGTTTAATGACTTACCAAAAAGAGCACAACTGTTATGATTGACCCTTTTTCTCCTTTTGTCTTCCCTCCTTCTTTTTGCCCTTCCCTCCTTCTCCAGCCTGAAACAATAGAGGCACATGAAGCACGAAGTTAGAGATGATTTTATAAGTTGTTATACAGTACCTCGTCTGTAGAGATATTGTTACTAATTGTTGCCAATCCACTGTAGCAGACAACAACAGCTCTAAGAGATTTCTCTAGGGACATCAACAATTTTCCTCTTTAAATAATTTATTCCATTTACATGTATTACTATTTATTCATCTATCATGACATCTTAGTTTGTACCAAAGACTATAGAATACACAAGACGCGTCACTCGTATACTTTTGAATGGAGAAAAGTGTAACTGTCAAATATCGCAAATGAAGCCCCGCCTTCTATTACAGGAACCAATCAGCGATCGCTATATAGCGAATAAAGCTTGCCTTCTAGTACAGGAGCCAATCAGTGATCATTATGGAATGACAATTCTCCGAGGGAGGGCCTCAGACTAGAAGTGAGTTTCTGCAGATTTTGTGTAATACGAAATTAAACTAAATAGACAGGTATTGTTTAATTTTATTGGTTATTCGTAATATAAAATTTAATCGTAACCTTGGCAAATAGTTTTGGAGATTTTGATGTTTCCCCATTCAAACAGAACACCCAAGCATACTGTCCAAGAGGCGTTTCAAAGATGGCCCCCGAGTGAAGGGATTTGCCTTAAAGAGACTTTGTTTATACACTCCCTGACAAAAGTCTTGTCGTCTATCTAAGTTTTAGAAACAACAAATAATAACTTGACTTCTAGTTGATCATTTGGTATAAGAAGTGGCTTATATGAAAGGCAAAGGCCTCTAGATTTAATTAAGACAGTAGGACAGTAAAGTCTGACTTTGCTTAGACAAAAGTCTTGTCACTTAACAGAAATAATGTATAGTATAGAATATAAAGCTCTCATGACTTCCATGAGCTTGGATGACTGCATCCATCTCAGCAATGACTCAAATAACTTATTAATAAAGTCATCTGGAATGGCAAAGAAAGCCTTCTTGCAGGACTCCCAAAGTTCATCAAGATTCTTTGGATTTATCTTCAATGCCTCCTCCATCTTACCCCAGACATGCTCAATAATGTTCATGTCTGCTGACTGGGCTGGCCAATCCTGGAGCACCTTGACCTTCTTTGCTTTTAGTACCTTTGATGTGGAGGCTGAAGTATGAGAAGAAGTGCTATCCTGCTGAAGAATTTGCCCTCTCCTGTGGTTTGTAATGTTCTAATAGGTCTTCTGCAGTATTTGTGATGATTGGGATGCAGTTCAACAGATGATTGATCAGAAAAATCGACCTTCAGCCACTTTTTTTAAATAATCAACTAAAAGTCAAGTTAATATTTGTTGCTCTTTTGTCAGATAGTGGATGAAACAATGGTTATTTAAAGTTAAAGTCAAAGTAAATCATGCTCATCATAAAGACTATTAAACATGTATAAAATTTGCATTCTTTGGCCCTAGAAAGTCATTAACTGTTCATCCTTTTGTTGTAGTATGCAGCCTAAAGTAAGGCCTGTTTACACCAATAACCAGAAAAATAACTATATTAACATCTACACATTCATTCTTTTTTTTTTTTTTTTGGCTTTGTCCCTCTATGAATCCGGGGTTGCAACAACGGAATGAACCGCCAACCAATCCAGCACGTTTTTATGCAGCGGATGCCCTTCCAGCCACAGCCAATCTCCGGAAAACAACCATACACACTCATTTACTACAGACAATTTAGCCTACCCAATTCACCTGTACCGCATGTCTTTGGACTGTGGGGGAAACCGGAATCCCACGCGAACACAGGGAGAACATGCAAACTCCACACAGAAATGCCAACTGAGCCGAGGCTCGAACCAGCGACCTTCTTGCTGTGAGGCGACAGCACTACCTACTGCGCCACTGCATCGCCCAACATCTACACAAATGAGTTAATTCTATTGTTTATGATGACTGTTGTGTTTTACTTTATATTTGGGAATATTTTTGAACTTTATGATTATAGCTATTGTTTTTGGTGTGAATGAGTTGATCCTTTGTAGCTTTAGCTTTGACTGAAAATCAATAGACATAAAGATGAACTTCAGCTGAAACAGTGAAGCTGACTCAAGATCCCACACATTTTGAGTCTGTTTCCTACTCTGTTTTGAGTTCTGTGTGGGAGAAACATTAAATGTGCATGTCCACACACACACAAACACACACACAGCTAGACAGAACAGAGCATATCAATCCACAGACGCTTACTTTATTAATAAAGCCACTTCAAACCAAAATCCTGTGTTAGATTTCTAAATCGAGCAAGCTGTTCCACTAGTATAGTCCAGTCCTGCACTATACTAGCATGAGCACTGCACACAAGTCCAACCTCAGTGTGCTCTCTGTGGGGCCCCGGGCCACTCTCTTCCTCTAGCTCGGCCCTACTGGCCTGCCGGGAACGTTTCCCACGTTTCCGCTTGCCTTTCTCCTCCACACCAGCTGAACGACGCACCACTTTCCGGATGACCTAAGACAAGGGTGTAAATGTCTCAAGGCAATGTTTGTACCCACACATGGGCAGATGGAAGAGGACAGACATGGTAAAGTTAAGACATGTTAGAGGTGGGCATGGACATTACTTTTCTGGTGACTAAGTTTCCATCTTCGTCAGTGTACTGCTCTTCTGTGACAGTCTCACCAGGGATGTTTTTGGCCTGATCACCCTACAGAGTTAGGATGCATGATGAGACATTTACTTTGTACTGATTTTCCACACAGACACACAGAGTCTCATTCATTAAAAATGCATAGACACACGTTTTATATGTGTATACAGTAGAAATCAGAATTATTAGCCCCCCTTTTAATTTTTTTTCTTTTTAAAGTTTTCCCAAATGATGTTTAACAGATCAAGGTAATTTTCACAGTATGTCTGATAATATTTTTTCTATTGGAGAAAGTCTGATTAGTTTTATTTAGGCTAAAATAAAAGCAGTTTTCAATTTTTTAAAAGCCATTTTTAGGACAAAATGATTAGCCCCTTTAAGCTATTTTTTTTTCCGATAGTCTACAGAACAAACCATCGTTATACATTAACTTGCCTAATTACCCTAACCTGCCTAGTTAACCTAATTAATATAGTTAAGCCTTTAAATTTCACTTATATACATTTATTTATACAATTTTTAATCGCAAAATTATCCGCAAAAAGTTCTGGGAATTACCACCACAAAAAATATACATACAGTAATAATTTATTGCAAAGAAATGACAATTTTTTTTTTTAATTATTAGTGAATGAAACCCACTGTCTGAGAAGAAATCTATAAATGCTGTAGTTCAGAATTAACAACAAAACAAACATCTTTCAAACAAACATACAAATAAAATGGTGGATCAAACACTACAGAGAGAAAAAAACAGCACAAGCTAAGTGTGTCATCTTTGAAATGACACAGCAAAAGCAGCATTTTAAATGAAACTATTAAAAAATGACTATTAAATATTGACAAATGACCACAGAGTATTTAATGTCATTGAAATGAAACCAAACCTGTAAAATCAGTATGCACAAATTGAGGTACAGTGCAACCGAAAAGTATTCATAACGCTTCACTTTTTCCACATTTTTTAAAAATTGTACAGCCTTATTTCAAAATTGATTCAATTCATTTATTTCCTTAAAACTCTACAAACAATAACCCGTAATGACAATGTGAAAAAAGAATTTTTTTTTTAAATTGTTGCAAATTTAAAAGCTGAAAAATCACATGTACATCAGTATTCACAGCCTTTTCTGTGTTTGCAGTACCTCTCAAGCTCTATAAGTTTGGATCGGAAGCGACAGTGTACAGCCATTTTCAGATCTCTCCAGAGATGTTCAACAGGATTTAGATCTGGGCTCTGGCTGGGCCACCGAAGAACATACACTGAGATGTTGTGAAGCCACTATTGATCTTTTGGTGGTGTGCTTTGGGTCTTTGTCCTGCTGGAAAATGAACCATCGCCCCAGTCAGAGGTCAAGAGCACTCTGAAGCAGATTTTCATTCAAGATGTGTCTGCATTCATCTTTCCCTCTATCCTGACTAGTCTTCCAGTTCCTGCTGCTGGAAAACATCCCCACAGCATGATGCTGCCACCACCATGCTTCATGCTATTAGCCTGGTGATGAGCGGTGCCTGTTTTTTTTCCAAACGTAACGTCTGACATTCACTCTAAAGAGTTCAATTTAAGTCTAATCAGACCAGAGAATTTTGTTTCAGATACCTTTTGGCAAATACCAAGCGGGCTGCTATGTGCCCTTTACTAAGGAGTGGCTGCCGTCTGGCCACTCTACCATACAGGCCTGATTGGTGGATTGCTGCACAGATGGTTGTCCTTCTGTAACCGTACGTTCACACCGAAAGCGGCGAGAGCGTCCAAGGTCGCTCTGGCCGCCCTGGCGACAACGCTGACTGCCTTCAGCTCCGGCGGCGAGAGCGTCAAAACTCGCTACATTGATCTCATATTTAAAGGAGCCGTTGCAGCATATCAGTTACATTCCTGCATAAGGCATGTTTTTAGCGTGAAAATGTTGCGCACTTTTTTATCAAATTCATATAACAATGGAAGATCAAGTTGCGTGTGGTGTGGCTTTGCTCTATTTATCCAATATGTGTCCGTATGTCTGAAATATCCTGAAGCAGCAGTACTGTTTTGTACTGTCACATCGCGTGAGATTCCCGCTTTTTAAAGATAAATTTATATAACATTAATGAACATCAGTAACTCGCCAGTGACTTATTTAATGTATGTTCCTGTAAGAAAACATTGTAAATAATTGGAAATCCGGCGACCGCAATAATCAAACCCTTGGGAACAACTGTGGTCGGAACCAAAGGTCACAGGTCTGTGTTCCCTGAACTGCTATCAAGCGGTGGACGTCTTCATTCTGATTGCTTGCCGCCGAAACGCGTCATAGCTCATTACCATAAAGTTGACTTCATTTCAACTCTCCTCGACGCTCACGCCGGCGAAGACGCGCCGCTCTGCTCCTCGCCGCTTATCGTCGCCTATCGCCGCCGGCTCTCATTGAAAATGAATGACTTCCGGCTACTTTGACGCTCTCGCCGCTTTCGGTGTGAACGTACGGTAAGGTTCTTCTCTCTCCACAGAAGAACGCTGGAGCTCAGAAAGAGTAACCATCAGGTTATTGATCACCTCTCTGACTAAGGCCCTTCTCCCCTGATCGCTAAGCTTAGATGGCCGGTCAGCTCTAGAGTCCTGGTGGTTCCAAACATCTTCCACTTATGGATGATGGAGGCCGCTGTGCTCATTTGAACTTACAGAGCAGCAGAAATTTTTCTGTAACCTTCCCCAGCCTTGTGCCTCGAGACAATCCTGTCTCGGAGGTCTACAGACAACTCCTTTGTCTTCATGCTTAGTTTGTGCTTTGACATGCACTGTCAACCCTAGGACCTTATATATAGACAGGTGAGCTGTATGCCTCAAATCATATCCAATCAACTCAATTTAGAGCTTCACGACAAAGGCTGTGAATACTGATGTACATGTGATTTTTCAGGCTTTTTTATTTGTAATAAATTTGCAACTTTTAAAAAATATATATTTTTTCACATTGTCATTATGGGGTATTGTGTGTAGAATGTTGAGGAAATAAATTAATTTAATCCATTTTGGAAAAAGGCTGTGACATAAAACATGTGGAAAAAGTGAAGCGCTATAAATACTTTCCGGATGCACTGTATTACTTAGTATAGCTTAAAGCTAACATGGAGGATTAGTAGTGATGCTAACTTTAGCCGGCACCTTTAATTAAATTAATTAAAGAGAAAGGAGGACGCATGAAAGAAGAAAACAGAGAAAAAAAACACTCTAGAAATCACAGCAACTTCTTCATAAAAAGAGGCAGTGCACTACTCACTTCATGCCCTTTTAGCACACAGGCTAAAGCACACAAAAAAAACTTTGCAGCACACAAATCCGGCCCAAATATACAAGAGTACCACCCGTAGTACCTTCAGAATCACTCTCCGCCGATACACCCTGGTAGTGACAGTCTCTTCCTCATCAGTGCTGGAATCATTCTCTCTAAGAGCTTCCTGCTAGAGTCGGGTCAGCACATTACATCGGTGCATGAGCCATCAAGCTCATATGAAGTCACCTTCAACTAATGTTTTTCAAGTTACAAGCCTTCGCTGTGTTCAAGAATGAATTGTGACCCTTGAAAGTGGTTATTATTTCATTTGATGTAAATGTAATCCCATTTACATGTGTATTTATAATCAGACTAATGTCTTCTTATGTAGTCAAGTTATAGTCTTTGTAGATTTATATACTTTTGATACAGAATTGATCTAAAATATAATATATATAATATACATCATTTACCTCTGTTGTTAGCAAGATTAGATTTAATGTGCATATAAACTGGAAGATGTCAACTTATGTTATTATTTTAACTATTCCTGTTAGTCCCAGTACCTGGACTTTAGGCTCGGAGATGCCCTCCTCCCTGTTGTTTGGTCCTCTGTCCTCCAGAACCTCCCTGCTTGCTTCCTCTCGCTCAGAATCTTTCCTTGCTTTGCCCTTTGGTTTGCTGGAAGACTCACTGGCGTCTGGCGACAACACCTCTGGATGTTCTCCATTTTGCCTCTCAGCTTGCACTCCAGGCATTGAGGACTTCAGCTCTTGGCTGCAGAGGCATAGACATTTGGAATATGTTACTTGATTGATACCTAAACTGCTGAGCTTGTGGAATAAGATGATTACAGTTTGCGATAGAGGTCACAGTTCTAACCTGGTCTCTCTTTGCCCTTGTTTCTCAGTACCCAGTCCTTGGCCGGTTGTTGTCTTTCCATTTGCACCAGACGTCTCACTCTGCAAACCTGAAATTGAAGACATGTCTTTTTCTGCCTGCTGTACTTGAGAGAGGATCGCTTGCAGCCTCTCCTCAGTCATCTCCTCATCCTCTGAGCCTTCCTCCAACTTAATAGTCTCCAAGAGAGACTTTATTTTATCTTGAGTCATCTCTTCGTCTTCTTCGTCAAACCCAGACTTGCCACACTCTTTAACAGCTTCACTGGCAGAGGCGCAAATGGGAAGCATAGGCTGGGCATCCTTTTCTTTTACCGGGCTGCTTGGGAAGACATCTGATTCTTTGGAGGTTTCCTCACTGTCATGCTGTTTTGAGGGAGATATCAATTCCTGGTTGACACCAAGGTCATCTTCAGCGGACCCATCTTCCTGGGCAACGGATTCCCGGCCTCCAATAGTTGTGTCTTCCGCCGTGACGGTAGGCGGCTTAGTATCTGTAGACACTGGGCCACTAGAGGTTGGCAAGGACAGTTCACTGGGTCTAACAGGGGCACTAGAGGAGAACTTAAGCATACTGTCTTCACTAAAGAAATCATCATGACGTAGAGGGGTAGGGGGTTCATAGTTCAGCTCTGTGGGACTCTTGAGCTCCAGCTCAATGTTGTGGTAACCTGAGTGATACAACACAGTGAGATGGAGGCGAATACCACTTGTGCACAATGCCACAGTAACAGATGTTATGACAGAGGCCTTTGAAAATGTCATGGAAGAGAAAGTGTGCTTGGTGATATTAAGGATTTGTTAAGCAATTACACTTGTTTAAAATGAATATTCTGGGTTATTTCCTTAACAAAAGTAGTCCATTTTAAAGTTTTAATAAACAAGATTCGTATTTCAGCTGTAAAGCTTCTGATAAACATGCATCTGATGGATTCCCATTGTAATTTGACGTTCACCAATTTGGGTTATTTTCTGTGATATCCCAAAACACATCAAAGATATTCAATAGCAAATTGGTAACCCAGAATATTACAGATATACCATTAGGTTAATCAACATGTGGTACAATTAGTATGGTTTTAGATAGCTTATCCTTTAGATTACCATGTAATTTTCAAAGGCACATACTTAAAACACTAAATGTATAGTTCAGGAACAGTGGGATCCTGACGTAAATGGAGGAAGATGGAAGAGGATGAAGAAGAGGAAACAGACTGAGACTGTTTGGTCAATTCTTTAGGGGTAGGAGACAGAGATGACGTGGAGAAAGTAGGAGTAATAGAAACTATCACTGACACCAGGACAAAAAAAAAAAAAGGAAAATGAAGCAGAACAAGATGTTAGATAACATGAGACATCAGGATGATGCTATTATATGAAGATTAGAATGCAGTGTTACCATAGCATGAGTGAAGAGCTTTAGCAAGAGCTAGCACTGATTTACTCCACCACATAGAATTCAACTATGCTAAACAGTGCTGCCCCACTGTGTTTTGAAATGAGGCAAAGGTGTTGCTATGAAAGAAGTTGAAAGGCAGTGAAGTAGAAGCTGGTCTGAATTTGAAGCAGAAGCACTCTATCAGGAAGGTTCAGAGGATTCTGGGATACTGGAGGATCAGGCAGTTTGACAGCAAGCAGACATTCCATAGTAGCCACAGCCATGCTATCGATATAGCCCAAACTACTGAATTACTGTTAGCACTACACAGAGAGAAACATTAAGGCAATCATGCTGTAGAAGCAGGTTGGATACTAATATTATGTTTTCATGTATGTGTCATATCATAGAAAAATCACAGAGAAATGGAGAGAATTTTGAAACACTACTGCTAATAGCTAGCTGCTATTGTTTTTGGAGTATACTCAGTATACACATAAACATAATGTTTATCTTAATACAGTGTGAACCAAATCCTAAACCCATCAGACCCATCACTCAAATATATTATTTAACCCTAAATTGAACCGTAACAGAGCACAAAAGTAAGCGCTCACTTTTTCAGGGGCCTTGGATCCAACATACACTAACCGGCCACTTTATTAGGAACACCTGTCCAATCACATCCGGTGCGTTTAAGGTCTGTTTTCTTAAAAAATCAGCGATCTCCACTAGCTGAGTGATATCCGATTTAAAGTGGGTCTCAGATTGTACAAGAAGCACTGCATTAAATTACATTTCCCCTGCCATATCTTTATAATATGAGCATTTATTTTACCCTAGTATATTCAATGGAGCTTCTGCGTTAGCCTGCCGATTCTGATGGGCGCGTACGAGTAAACAGCTTTTGTCTCTTTTTTACGCTTGAGCAACTAAATAAATGCTAAAGTTTATTTAACTGAATGTATTTTAATGACATTAAAACATCGATGCTGTATAAGGAACCATATAAAATGGTAAACAGTTCACAATAACAGGTCACCGGAAGTGTATCAGCATGGGAACAGCACTAGCTCGGCATATACACTATTAAGGCAGTTATAAAGGCAAAATGGGGTCCAACCCAGTACTAGTTAGGTGTACCTAATAAAGTGGCCGGTGAGTACATATTACTTAACTTTTTCCATGTGCAATTTGCCAATCAATTTTTTTTTTTTTTTTTTTTTTTTTTACAAATGTATGTATTAAGCAAGTGCATTTAGTGACCTCATATGAATGGGTAATAGAGCAGTATGGTCTCTAATGTGATATGCACTTCTGAGATGGGATTAAGTTCTGATTCAGCATTAGCTTATGTACTTTATAGCAGCATGCTTTAATGCTTTCATACAAACACACAATCATACTAAATCAATATATATGATCACACTGATCCCTGACTGGTCCAACACCAGGCTGGAAAAGAACAGTGCTCATAATTGGCGAATCTAATCGATTAGAAAGTAAGATTGAGATTTAAACTTAAACTTGAGTTTAAGTTTACACTGGATTTGAATTTAGAGTGTTTTGCCATGATGGTTCTATGAATCTACAGATTTGTGAGAAACATAGAGAAGCAGAGTTCAGGTAGATGGGGCTAAACTTTACCATCAGCCTGCTCCTGGGAAACTGCGCTATCATCTGCAAAACATCTTGTGCCTGAAATGTTACCATAGTCAAATATCGGCCCTTCCAGCAATGTCACAATATCCAACCGATTGATCTTAGTCAGGACCGCAGCTAAGGCATCCGCTAGAAGTAGAAAAGATATTGTTATTGTTGTAACATATGCAATTATATAAGACTTTTATTTTGTAATAGCTGACTTGCATTCAGAAATCCAAACCCCACCCACCCTTCTCCACATAATTAACCCTCATTCAGAAAATGTGTAGTCCCTTGGCATACTTACTTGTAGCGTTTTTACCATCTCTGTTAACCCATTTCTTTAATAGCATGAAACTCTGAGCCGTCAATGAGTTGGGGTTTTCCACACGGATTTGATTTATCTCATCAACTGAAAATTCCATTTCCCTGGCCATCTCTGCAACACATTAAAAATAGATTAATGTCTCCTCTGTCTTTACCACTTCCCGTACACATGCGCACAGTGCTGCAGTCACTGCAGATGGCACACCCTACTGATCACAGCAGCATCAATGCTTTGAGAAACAACAACAAAGTAAAAGCCATATGTGTGCAATCATATTAATTCTAAAAATGAGCATTTATTTCTAAAAAATATTCTAAATTACAGTATTTTCATCAATTACATATCTATAAACACAAAGACGTAAACATATAGCATGTTTGTGCTAAAGTGGTAATGCATCACTTTGTCCTCTAGGTGGTGTCATTTCTTACCAGTCCAACTCAGGCCGAGATGATCTGCTACAATAGCCATTCGCAAATCTGTTCTTTCACAGGGGGTCTGAGGGCCTGAGAGCAGAAAAGGAAAAGCCATGAAAACCTTTTAAAGCTTAATATTAGTTAGAGTAGTTTGAAAAGCATTAAAGCACACTACCCTTTTCTGATCAAGCAAAGAGTATTAAAAGTCTTGGGGAGATTTTGAAATAATTGGACAGCAACAAACAAAAAGAGTCCATATCATTATAATAGGTTGAGGGACATTGATCAGAAAAGAGTTTGAATGTATTGTAAAATGTATTTTGATATCGTTTATTAACTGTCAGTGGCTTTAAGACCATGGTCTCAAACTCAGTTCCTGAAGGGCTGCAGCTCTGCATAGTTTATCTACAACCACCTCCAACTCACACCAGCTTAATAGTCTCTACACTCTCAGAAATAAAGGCACGTGACCTGTCACTGGGGTGGTACTTTTTCAAAAGAAACAAATTTGTACCTAAAAGGTCAATATTAATACCTCAAGGGTACATACTAGTACCTAAAAAGTACAAAAGTGTTCCTCTTAAAAAAATGTTGGTACTATAATCTACTTTTGAGGTACCAATATGGACCCTTTAAAGGGCCATGACACCCCCCACTTTCGGTTAAAGTCTACTTCAGAATTTTTTCAAAAGATGCATGATTAATAGGCGTGGAGCTCCGCGAGCATCGGGCAGGAGTGGTCGTGGCCAGCAGGGGAGAACGTGAGCGAATAACGAAGCTAGCTCACAAAATGAGACAAACCGTGAGGAGACGCATGAGTTTATAGTTTACAAAGTTAAAATGCAAAGAAATAAATAGTGATTTAATGCCCTGCTACATTTGTTATTCGTAATATCATATACACATAACCACAATTTATATAGTTATAAAGATAAGTGTGTTCATGTAAACACTATAAATGAGGACTTCTCCCTCAATCCCCCGTATCCAGCAGACTCAGTGCTGCAGGTCTCCTGACCTGTCTATTTTAACTATTAGCCCTGCTGGTAATCTGGAGGATTTAGGCAAACACAGCAGCACAGTGATGTGTCTGAATGTGAATGAACTGATAAAAGACTGCGTCCGCCATTCTCTAATTCTCGTGCTGCTCTCCCGACAAAAATGCTAGCAGCACACACACAGCTTTGATCAAGATCGCGGGGGAAAACATGCAACAAACCGAGTGGATCATGGAAACAAACGCATATGAGCCTTATGAACGGCTAAATACTGTGTGCCCATGCAGTGGGTCCGTGACGTGTCTCTCAGTTCGGGCTTGACTCTGGTAGGTCTGGCAGGTCTCATGAATAATTAAGCAGCCGGCTCTTCTCATAGGATAAGAAAACTCCGCTATGAATAATAATGAGAAACCGACACGTCATCATTGCACTTGCAGTACTGCGCTACGTCGCTGATTTTGATCCCGCCCCAAAAATCATTTTAAAACCGGAAGCTGAAATTAGCTGACAAAAGCTCAAAATTATCCAGTTTTCCCCACAATTAAAGCTGACAGGTGCTAACATTGTCTTAACTGATGCTCAACACACACACACATCTGTTAATATAAAAAAAAAAGTTCTCCAGGGTGTCCTGAACCTTTAAGTACAAATGTGTACCGGTTGAAAAGGTACCACCCCAGTGACAGCTCGCGTACCTTTATTTCTGAGAGTGTAGTAGTCTTGAACACGTTAATTAGTTGGATCAGCTGTGTTTGATTAGGGTTGAATCAAACCTGTGCAGAGCTGTGGCCCTCCAGGAATTGAGTTCGAGACCTATGCTTTAAGAGGTTAGATTTGTGAAGAATGAACCCTACCACAGGAAATGTTTTAACCTTTTAACAGTATCTCAATCAGAAAAACATACAAATAACAAATAAAAAAAGACACAATTCGATTGTCTCTACAACTACAGAAGAGCATCTCAAACGTGAATCCACAGAATTAAATGAAACTGAACATGCGGCATCTTTGTTGCTGTGCTAGGACTGCATCTCTGCGTGGGCTTAGGAGATCTACAGGCTTCCTTAGCACCTCACAAGAACTAGGAACCAATATAAATGGCCAGCAACCCACTAACACTGGCATGCTACAGTAAAACTGACTAATCCATAGAAAGAGATCTGAAAACAGGTTTAGAGACCAGTACACAAGTACACAAAGAGAGAGAGAGAAAATGACAAATGACAGAGATGACATCTACAGTCAGGTCACACCACAGGCAATCACAACGGCTCATGCAACTAAGATCATACAAGTGGAAAGTTTTACAAACTAGGCTCGATCTCCACGCCGGGGGCCACTTGAGGCCCAGCACCCTGACTGCCTTCAGTCCTCCTACTCCTCCTCCTCCTGTCTCTGCCGGATTGCTCAACCTGTGATCTCACGTCTCTAGCAGACCTGGATGTACTGGAGGATTCCAAGGCTTCTGATAAAGATGTGTTCCTTGACGTGCTGCTTTCTTCATCGTGATCATATGTCTGTATCTTTTTGTCATCACTGGAAAGGCAACCCACCACCTTTACTACACTACGTGGTTTAGAATGACTACTTTTCCCAACATCACGTAAGGGCTTATGACCATATTTACTGCCTGATGTACTAACCAGACCTGGTTTTGTGTTTTTGTCTGTCGTTATTGCTTTGATTGGCAGTGGTTTAACTTTCTGTTTTGCCATTGTAGTGGTTCTACATTTACGCACTGGTGAGGAACTAATGTTTTTGACCTTCATAATTGGAATTCTAGATTTAGGTTTTACATCTGGGAATGGATCTAAACGATTTCTGGCCTCCACTTTAATCTTTTGAATTGGTCTCAAAGATGTTTGATCTTTTTTACAACTTAGTGGCGCATGAGGTGCTCTCACTGGCAACATAGATTTTGTGGGTTTTCTTATATCGTCTTTGCACTTGGAGATTAAGTTACTATTCTCTAAACTATGGTCCCTGCAAGTACCAGCGTCCTTTCTTACCAAATCCTCACATGCATTTTTTACTTGAACTGAGCTGAGATCAGTAACTGACATGTGTTCTGTTTGCACAATGCTTTGTAGCAAGCAGTCCGTTCTAGCATTTAAGGCCTCCAAATTAACATTATTGCTGCAATTTCTGGAATTATTGCCAGTTGTCTTGAGGTATTCTCGTGACTCTGCCCTCGATGAGTCTGTTCTTTGATTGTACTCGCTTGTTCTTTGAGTTTCTGGTCCTATTAGATGAGCAGTCACTGGTAATGTACCTTGAGAACTATCCCAGTCTACACAAACTAAATCTCTCCTCTCAACATTGGAAGACTTCAGTCCTATCTTAAAAGAAGAACACAAACTACTGACTTCTGAGTAGGGGGGAGGCTCCATGTCATGAGATGTGTCTGAGTGGTCAGTGCATATCTGAATGATATTGTATGACATAACAGTGTTGTCCTCCAACTTAACTTGTGCCCTCTCAACTATTTGTGAATTTGAGGTGACTACATTTGGTTTTCTGACCCCATTCCCTATCCTCCCTCCAAATGTATGCTCACCAATCTGAAAAAATTGCAGCCTCTCTTCAACAAAATCCCTCTTGCTCATGTCAATCGCACCACTGCGGGTCATCTCAAACATCTTCCCTTCGTGGAAGGGGAAAGGGTTAGGCTCGCTAGTTGGTGTGCTTTCATCAGTTGGGGTTCTTGCAGGAGTTGTGTCAGGGGTTGTTGCAGCAGACTTGTCATCTACTGCTAACCCAAATGGCTTGGGTTCATCGTCTTTAATTCTAGCATCCACTACTTCATCTTCTCCTCCCTTGCTTGACCAAGGATCAAAGCCTTTTGTTGCAACAGTTTTAAAAGGAGTATTAAACTCCTCATCTAACTTGTAACTAAAATAAGTGTCCGAAAGTCCTTGATCAGATTGTTTTCCATCCTTTTCGTCTTTTCCATTCGTTCTGTTTGAAGGATCAATCTTAGCTTTGGTCTTTTTGCAGTCCTCAGCTGGTGATTCTTCTTGAATTACTTCAAGTTTACTTTGGCAACGGTCACTTGGTCTAGACATATTATCTGATGCCCAAATGTCTTTTCTGTTGTCATTGGGAAATCCAAAAGGTTTGGCTATAGGTTCACTTAAGCCATCATCCTCATCCTGAAGTTCATATCCATCCAGTGAGTCAATCTCAGTGGCATCTGTATCATGAGAGAACTCTGCTGTTGTTGCTATTGAACAGTCTGTGATGGACTGATCATTGCCATTTTGTTCATAATCATAATCTTCTGTTTTTCCATTACCATTTTCCCCTGGTTCTTTATCATTACCATTCTTGTCTTGTTTTTTTGATTGGCTGTCTGTCAAGTCCTGGTTCTCATCAATTTTAAAGGTATATTTCTTTATTGGAATGGGTTTAAAGACTGATTCCTCGTCACTTGAATCACTATCATTAGCTCCTGGGGGCACAGGGGATGGAGGTTGGACTCTTATTATGGGTTCGGCAAGAAGATGTTTATCATGCTCCTCTTGGAGATTTACTTCCATCATTTCAGTCTCAGCTTCTGAGGAAGGAGTCGACCCTTTTTTCTCAGGCTGTGATGAATCAGAATCTAAGGGTGGTGGAGGAGGAAACTCTATATATGCAACTCTTTTGTCTTTTGTTTCCTGAACTTCTGGTCCAGATTTTTTCAAAGAATGATCTTTACCTTGTTCACTATCTTCAGATTCTTCTGAAACCTCAGCTATCGGGCTTGTAATACCTGGCATAAATGCAATAAATGGATCAGGAGTTCTCGAAGTGAGATCATAGCTGACCTCTTCTGAGCTTGGGGTCTCTGGGGTCATAGGACTTTTGCCAGAGCTATCGATAAAAGAGAACTGTTCTAAGGTGTCATCATCTGGGCTGCCTTGAGGAGATGTGGGCTGTTTCTGTTTAACTGCATAAACTGTCCGACTTTCTGAACCAGATACCTTTTTTATTGTTCCATTTGTTCCTCCTCCCATGTCTTTATCAGACTGCTTACCCATTTGCACACTTACATAAACTGGTAAAGTTTTAAGCCCTTTGAAACTTTCTCTTGTTGTAACTGTGAATTTTTCCACTGAACTAGTGTCACTTGTTTTACTTTCAACAGAGACTTCTTCCGGTTTCGTTGTTGAAGCATCTTCTTTCTGTAACTCTAAACGGCCCTGGACCCTTGGTCTTGTCAGGGTAGGTATGTGCGATGGGCTCCTTTCAGATGATTTACTGACTGTATCTTGATTCATCTTCTTTGACTGGTTATTGTCTAAGGAACTAGAGGTTGTTCTCATGGGAATATGGGATTCTGTCTTTTTCTTAAGGGTCTTTATCTGGCTGTCGTTTCTACTGACATTATCCTTCGATAAGGCATCTGTTTTAAAGGAGTCATTTTTAATGTCACTTTTTAGGTACCGTTGTTCTTTAATATCATTAACTGCACTATGTCTGTCTGCACTATATCCATCTTTCAAGTCTTGCACTTTAGTAGAGCTCTCTAGAGTTGTATCAAGCCCCTGATCCTTAATCTTCTCAAACAGCGAGGCTTTTTTTGCAACATTATTTGATGTAGTCGATTTTTCAAGTAAAGCTTTTTCACCGGATTGCTTTGAAACAGTAGTTCTTTGAGGACCTTGAGATTTACAACTCTGAGGGTCTACTTTACTTTTATCGATTTCTGTTAGTTTTCTAGAAGGTGACTGTCCTACATCTGCAGAGTCTGACTTTGACGGTTTTGAACCAGTGAAAAATTGATAAACTGGTAACTTACTTTCTGGTGATTTTTTGGATTGTGCTATAGGTATATTCTTATCCTGTTTCTGTGCTTCTGTTTCAAACTTCTGCCTAAAAGAACTCACTTTAGATGTCTTAACTGGGACTGGGGGGCCTGTATTACCTGTCTTTGCCTGCTGAGGAGATTCATGCTGTTTTGGCTTATCCTCACTGAACTGTGACAGCTTATGCCTCTCGGGACTGTTTGGGAGGCTCGCACTTTTCCTTTCAGCTGTACTCCCAAACATTTTCTGCCTGCCTTTCTCCCATTCATCAGCTGTGCTCTTTTGCTTTTTCTCAGGGCTGCTGCACATTGAGCTCGGCCCTGACAGTGTCTCCCGTGAAAGTCTTGTTGGTTTCTTTTTCTCGGGAGACTGAAGCTCATCATTTAGCTTTTCAGTTTTATCTCTAAAAAACTGTGAGACCTCACTCAGTTTTTCCTCTGCCTCTTTAATAGTCCGATCAACTCTGTCCTCATAAATAAGTTTCTCTCTATTCCTGTCTTGCCTATCTTGGGTAAATCGCATCCAGACGGCATGTTTAGGGCTTCCTGGTTCTGTGGTGTAATGTAATACTGTAACTTTGTCAAATTGCTCTTCTTGTGGGGGATATTTACCTGATTTCTCTGATGCATCTCTTGCTGACCTTAATTTGGACTCCTTCCTTGGGCCAGTTACTTTTTCTCCATATACGCCTTCTGCCCCTTGTACTTCAGTGGCTATGCTATGTGTCTGGTCTGCCACTGAATCCTCAGTATCAGAATGGCATATGTCTAATTTTTCTGAGAGCAACATTTTCTCAGCAAACCTGTATGACTCCCCTCTCAACTCAGACAACTCGTCATCATGATACTCAATTGAATGCTGGCTTAGAAGCTTTAACGTTTTATATGATTCATCAGTAATAAGCTGAGCTGAACTGGGACGACTCTCTTCCTCTTGAGAGACAGGTGTATTAACTCTGGACGTGTCTAGGAAGGACGGCAGTGTTTCCTCTGCAGTAAGTTCCTCTTCATCTTGAAGAACCTCATAATCCCCATCAACCCTCTCAACAAGCTCCCTGAGACCTCGGTCACTCTTGCATATAAACTCTGGATGCTTTTTAGTTTCTCTGATTATAACTTCAGTCGGGTCGTTTGTATTGCCCTTTTCTATGTGCACCTCAATAATTCTCTCAACTTTGGGTTTTTTGTCCTTTTCAAGGAACCTTGGGGACAATTCATCTCCTTTAATGGTATCTTGGCCAGCTTTGTGCTCAAATAAACCAGCTAATTCTTTGGAAGGGTCTCTTCCAGACTGAAAAGCTTTCATTATGTCTCGGACTGACATTGTTTCTTCAATCCGGTCAGAACCAGCATCTTTCAGTTGAGGTTTGTGGTAGACCATTCGAGTTGTAGTGGTAATATGAGTTTCTTCTTTGAGGCATGCCAACTCGTCAGAGCTGACTTTCATCTGCAAGGCTTTTACCTTATCATTGATTGAGCTAACGGCTGACTCAGGTTCAACTGGAGGCTTCAAAGCTGCTGCCTCATCCATTAATGGTTCACAGACCTCATCAGGTTGTTCATAGCTCCTGATGACATGAACAACCTCAGTTCTGGTTTCTGTTATGACAGGGGGAATAGGCACATCTGTGAATGGGGGTTTGGGCCCTGTGCTCTCTGCACTTTGAGGAGCCGATGGGGTCTTTTCACTTCTGGTTTCAAAACCACTATCTGAGAGAGGACTTTTATCTTGCTCATGGGAAAAGTCATCAGGAGATTCCAAGATAGCGTCAGTGCCACTATATGTTTCTTGAGTTAATTTACTTAAGTCTTTCTCTGAAGGTGAGGTCCTCATACCGGTGGGTGGCATTTTGAGCTTGTGCTCAGGCTTCATGGTGCGCTTCTGTTTTTCCTCACCTTCTTTCTTTATTTCATCATATCTGCTCTTTACATCAGCTATTTTTGAAAGGGAACTAGCACCAAGATCATTCATTAAGTAATCAACCACTTTGGCTAAATTGAGATCTTTGTCTGGCACTGACTGTGGCCCAACTGGAAGTGTTGATTCGAATGTTGGCAGGGATCGCAGGGCACTGTGTCGTGCCTCCTCAATTTCATCTTTAGAGAACTCTTCCCATTCATCTTCTGATGCCCTCTCTTTTCGAGAGTTTTTGGCCTCACTCAGAACATCTTTCTTAAGAATTTCACTAACTTTGACAAGGTCCTCTTTAACTTTCTCGACCAAACTGAAAGTTTCTTCATCTTCTATCTTGGGTTCTTTAGAAACCTTTGAATGGAAACTTTTGGGTGAAGTTGAAGAGTCAGTTTGTAAGATTGCTGTCATTCTCATCAGATCTTCCTTCATATCTGCTACATCCTTAAGAATCTCTTGATTGGAAGTCAATGTGGGTGTGGCTGCTGCTTTGAGGACTGTTGGAGAAATGAAAAGTGAGGGCTTTGCAGGTTTCTTTCGTGTTGTAGAGGACTGTGTTTGGTTGTGTGTCTGAGGTGTGATTGTTATTTTTTCTGGAAGTTTCCTCCCCTGTGTTTCAGGAAGCACACTGACCACAGAAAATACTGGAACAGACATGGAAACAGATGTCATTGGCGTGGTAGTGGTGACTGGTGATCGAAGGGACTCATAAACAGAACTTGTTAAGTGTGATCTTAAAGGTGACGATACAGATTTTAGTGTACTGTAGTTTGACTTCGAGCCACCAGTAACTGTTCTTTCAGCCTCACTGAAGGCTGCACCAACACTGGCTGTCGCTGCTTGTGTTGTGGCCTGTATCCGTTCTTGTAAGCTATAAGCCCCTCCTGAAAACAGACGGGAAGATGAAGAGGAGGATATGGGATATTTTAATGGTGAAACGGATCCATTTAACATGACTGTTTCAGTACTGGCTGTTGTAGGCTTAGCTGATGAAGAAAGTGATGACAAAAATGTCCCCCTGGCTGCATCTGTGGTGGATTTAATAGAGGATAGGCTTGATATATTTCGAATGGGAGAGGACACTGCTATACTTGTGGGAGCCAGGGTGGATTTGAATGATGTGTAGGTATTCGTGGTTGACTTTATAGAGTCAGATTGGGTCACTGTTGTGAAAGTTCTGTCTAGCATGGATCCCGGTGACGAAATCAGGTTAGCTCTTGAGGACAATGAGGCAGCAAGCCCCTTAATAGACACAGGATCTGTGCCAGTTTTACCTGGCGAAGATAGGAGACTGGAAGATATTGGAACTTGATTTTGGGGTTGTTGAACCACAGTCTTTATGGGTGATGACATTGATCTGTATGTTCTAATGGGTGATGCAACGTCGCTAATTGATTTTGCAGGAGAAGCATTTGATGTTCCTAGGGTGGACTTGACTGGAGAGGCAGAGGAAATGGACCATACAGACTTTAGTGGCGAAGCAGATGGCGTGTTGGAAGGTGAACTGGAGAGGGAACCCAGTCCACATTTTGTTTGCCCAGGGACGGTAATAGGAGCAGTCGACCATGCCTGGTAAGATCTTGTTGAAAAGACAGGCTTGTGAGTGTAACCAGCAGGCAGTGTTCTTGTTGTACTTCGTTCAACTGTTTCTTTAAACAGACAAATGAAAATCCAACATAAAGTCAACAAAAAAAAAATGGTGGAAAAACAGAGAGACCAGAAGGAAAAAATTGGTCAGTGGCGATTGTCTTACAAGGAGGTAGAACAGCAGTTTTATGATCTGAAATGGAACTGAAGATGTGGATGGTGCCAAAATAAAGACGATCCAAAGAGATTCATGGCCCACAAAGGGTTCACAAAACAAAACTGAAAGCCAACAAAGCGCACACAAAAAAAAAAGGATGACAAAAACGATGAACCACAAAACTTAAAATGGCAAGACAAATGCACAGGTCCAGAGTAAAACAATATCACTTTTGACTTTTGATGTGCTAAATTCTCCTGTGACTAACTACCTTCTTTTGCTACAGTGCCTTTTATCTGTTTAGTTAAAAAAAAAAAAAGTCAAAGAAAAACAAATCCTTCCCCAATTTGGGTATTTTGACGAAAACGAAGGCTCCAAAACAAAAAGCATTCTTGTTCCTATGCTATACCAAAACATATTATGGCAAATGCAGGCTAAATGACTTTGATTTAAAGTTCATAATATTGTCCATGTCATGCAGATCTGAGTAACCTTAGTGACAGGCAAGTCAGTGCAAACTGTGAAAGTATCCAAGAGAATCTACCTGTGAGTCTTCATGCATTTCGGTCAAAAATGCATAAAATAATTTCGCACAATCACAAAGCCAAAAGGAGCAAGACTGATTGTAAACAGGAATTAAAAAAAAATAAAATGGATTTAAATTCGATGCCATAATGCAAACTGTTAAATGTTATGACAAATATCATTCTTGCTAGTGGGGGGGAAATGAACAAATAGGGAAAAAATATCTCACAAGCAAGCATAACACACCAACTGAAATACCAAAGTTCACGTGCAAACTTAAACAAACAAGAAACAAGCATGTGGACTCTGTTCATGTATGGTAAGAATGTGCAGATCAGACATTAATGTTTATGCCAGTTAAGATGGTACAGTAAGTCACATGTTAACTTTATTCACTCCCAAGAATTTAGTTCTTAAAATAAGTTCATACATTGGTAAAAACATTAAACTCACTCGTTCCAGGCTCGGTCAGATAGCTGTAGCGCTTACGTAAGGCTAGAGATGCAAAGGTATGACGTCGTTCTGGCTTTTCAGTCTGTAACAACAACAACAACAATCCTATCAGTTCTCTCATTATCAAGCCTGCTTATTAAAGTTTATTGGTCTTTCCGTCTGATAAAACATTATGATTATGAAGGAAAAACACTGATTTGGTTAGGTTTTATACTTTTACATTGTATTTTTGTTTCCTTGGCCTATATAGTCTCTTTTAGAGTCAAAGGAAATCAACTATATGTTGATTTCCTTTTATTCTTTAGGCCATGGACAGGGGTGGATTTACCCAATAAGCGAGGTAAGCGGTTGCTTAGGGCCACAGGAAATCTGGGGGCTCCTAATAAATACCCAGAAGTATAAATTAAATTTAACATTGTTTTGGTGTATAGTAAGTAGGGTTACGACGATACTAGAATTCGGTACCAAGCGATACTGAAATTTTAAAATTGTCCATTTCCTGCTAACATTTGAGTGCCATTGAGCACATTCTTAAACACAGCCGATTACTGTTTATTGAGTGTAACCACAGATACAGGGATACTAGAGCGTTTTAAAGCCGCGGTTTATCAGCGGATCGCTCGTATGTCACCTTATAGACAAACCAGCTGATCAACATGACTTTGAAACACTCCCTGTACCTGTGGTTACCCTAAGTAAACAGCACCGAGTTCAGGAAACTGATGACTTTCACGACTAATCAGTCATTTTTGTTGAGCTCAGTTGCGCTCAAATGTTTGCGGGAAATGAACGTTTTCATACGGATGTACCGAGTTTCAGTATAGTGGCAACCCTAACGTTAAGACAGGACCTTTTAGTAGTTATTCGCCTCATTTTCTATTAAATTATGATTGTTAAATACTGCATTTTAGTGACATTTTAAACATTATTTTTTTTGCTGGGTCAGCTTGTCGTATTGTACTTATAATAACCACACTTTTTGATGCAACAAAAGTATTCCCTACAGTTTTGTCAAAGTGCTTACTATACTATTTTACCACAAAGTGTTTATTTACAAATGTGCATTTCAACTGTAGGTTATTTAGTTTTATAAATAATGTTGTGAGTTTAGAATTTTTAATGAAACAAAGAAATATGAAAATATTTATTATCATCTATCATTTAAAAAAACTAAGTAGGAATCTGTTAAAACTTGGTTTAAATTAAAAACAGCAGCCTATAGGTAGAGAAAGACAGAATCTGACATTATTTGCTATTTCTGCTGAGAATTTTGTAAAAAATCTGCGGATTTATGCGGAATAATTTTGGGATTATCATAACTAAAAACCTAATATATGATATGAAAAGTAATGCCTTTTAAACTTTTATTTAACGTTAACAATGCAAATGCAACTAGATCCACTTATTTGGTAAACAAAGCAAGTCTCTCATATAATATATCTACAAAAAGATGGAAAATATTACTTTAATAACTGTATTGTAAATAAATCATATGAACATTTTAATATTACTCTTATTATGTCACAATAATATTAGTAAAATTCATTTAAAAACTGAATAAATGTACATTTATACACATTTACACAAGTAAATGCATAGACAGTGATGGGCTGGAAATCTGAGGACTCCCTGTAGGCAAATAACAAACTGGCCAGCTCATTTCCTCAGTCAGAATTTGTTCATTTGAATAATTAAAAATTACATTTGTCTCAAAGCTGCCTTCTAGCAGTTATTTTCACAATTTATTATGGCATACTGTAAAAAATAGGACAAATGAGCTTGTATAGCAGCTAAATTCTTGACTTTGTCAGTAGGGGGTGAATCTTTCGAACCACCCAAACCCCGCCTGGCTACGAGTCTGTAAGGGTCTAACGAATACAATTTTAATGTAATTATTACAACTACACAAATTTCCTCACCATCCTGAATCACGGAGCAGTCCAGAAGCCAAATCAGGTAAAGGTTTAGTTTTAAAAACAAAATAGTTTATGTATTATTTTTAGCTTTTACAAAACATTTAAAATGTAGAGATTGCAATAAGATAAAACGTAGAAAAGGAGAGAGAAAAAACACCACAAAGGGTGCATTTAAGACTGTTTGGCCCCCCTGGCTGGAATTGCTTAGTGCCCCCAAATCAATAAACCATCCCCTGGCCATGGAACAAAAAGAATAACTACGATCGACTGGGTCAATAAAAAAATTGTGCGCTGATGATCAGTATTTCATATTTAAACTTATTTTATATGTTCTTCTTTAAAAATCAAATATGGCTGATTTGATATGAGATCTATTTTAAGTCTCGACAGTCCAGGCAACAATACTTGCGCATGGATGAGTGAAAAAGGAATCAACTTGCAGAAAATTGCAGCAGCATGCTGTATGTGTTCTGTATGTGTACTCATGTTAAAGCCGCCTTAAAACAAACAATCAATCCAGAGCTAAAGCAACTAGCACACCACATGGAAATGAGGGGACAGCACTATTACCTCTTCCTCGGGATCTGAATCCACATCCTTTTGGTTCCCAAGATGCATTGCAGAAACAGAGGGGATAACGTAATGAAGAGCAGGGGGGAAGAAACATCAGGATGTGAACAAAGGCGATTGTGTTACCGCAAAGCCACAGTGAAGGAACATAAAGGGGCAACAAATGAAAAGAAAAAAGCCGCAACCACAGAAGCTGCTGAAAAAAAGCACAAGCCTGTGCACCTTCAGCCAAAGCAGGATCCAAATCAAAAGTGTGATTTGGGTCAGCCACAACAACAACACCAACTTGAAAGAAGCTTGAAACAGATAAAAGACACACTCAGGCAGTTTGAGCCAATTTTAACCCTTAACGACTAGAAAGGCTGCTCTATCTTTCCTGAGTATGAAGATGGCATGATATGACGCAGATGATCATAGTTCAGCCTTACCTTCTTGAATCCTGGCAGTGTGATGTTTAAATTACAGATAGCAGTTTGTGCGAGACCCTTGGAGGTTTTGATCTCTCTGAGGAAGGACAGGCGGCCGCATGGCTCTTGGCTGTTGTCTCTGACCTAAAGAGCACAAACAAATGTTACTACACGGCAACATGAAAATATTAAGCTTTTAATCACGGCAACATGAAAGTATTAAGAAATGTAAGATTAGATTGAACACAAAACAATCAAGTTTTCCGCAAACAAAGCAGGCATGGTGTTGTTTCAGCTCATTTTAAATAAGTAGTTTGAAGAAAATGCGGTTATGCAGTGGCGCAGTATTTAGTGCTGTTGCCTCATAGCAAGAAGGCTGCTGGGTCGAACCTCAGCTCAGTTGGCGTTTCTGTGTGGAGTTTGCATGTTCTCCCTGCGTTCGCGTGGGTTTCCTCCTTGTGCTTCGGTTTCCCCAACAGTCCAAAGACATGCGGCACAGGTGAATTGGGTTGGCTAAATAGTCTGTAGTTTATGAGTCTGTGTGTGTGTGTGGATGTTTCCCAGAAATGGAAGGGCATCTGCTGTGTAAAAACGTGCTGGATTAATTGGCGGTTCATTCCGCTGTGGCGACCCCGGATTAATAAAGGGACTAAGCCGACAAGAAAATAAATGAAAGAGTTTGAGCAAACAACATACGCCATTTTCTTTGAGTGTACTGTCAAAGTAATCCTCACGTCTAACTTGTATGGAATTTTCTGGATCGTAGCCTGTGGAAGCCGATGTATCAGCTAATTTAAAGTGATAGTTCACACCCAAATGATTAACATTTACTCATCATTTACTCACCCTCAATTGGTTCTAAAGCTTTATGAGTTTCTTTTCCCTGTTAAACACAATTGATGATATTTTGAAGTCTATAAATAGGAAAACAAAAAAAATCAATGGTAGTCAATGACTGCTGGTTTCTGACTTTCTTCAAAATGTCTTCTTTTGTGTTCAACGGATGAAGGAAACTAAAAAAGATTTGAAACTAATTAAATGATATCATTTATATTTCGGGGTGAACTGTACTCTTATTTCACGCGGCCACCATTTTAAGAAGCGAAAGCAAGGCTGCGGTGGGAAGAAACCTGGATGTATAGGATCAGCACTGTAAACATTGCAACAACATGCTGTGGACTACAAACCTCCACCTGTTGCCACGATTTCAAAGTGCATATGTGGCGTAAACATCACTTTAATATCATTCAAGTTTAATTTAAAACAATTAAAAGCATATTAGGCATCAAACAAAATCATCTCTTTAAGAGTATTAAGCTAATATATCTGTTTTCTTCTCACGTCTCGGTCTCTACTGCACATCCTAAAGACTCTTGGGAGAGGGAATTAGGAATTGACATTTCATCCTCTACCTGGGAGGAGGGAATGAGTTGTATTCATTCTTGCTCTATAAATGTAAGGCTACAGCTCATTCAATTTAAAGTGATGCATAGATTGCACTATACAAAAGCCAAACTTAATAAGCTGTATCCTTCTGTCTCTCCTCTGTGTGATAAATGCAAAGGCGCAGTCGGGACCTATGGTCATATATGTTGGTCCTGTCCAGAAGTATCTGAATTTTGGAAAAGTCTCTTCGGACTTTACTCCCAGGCTTTTGAAATGGACATAAAAATTGATGTAGAAATAGCATTGTTTGGATGGTCAGACCAGGCTCTAACTTGGCCTAAACATCAACAACTCTCCTTTATGTTTGGCATGGTGTTGGCCAAGAGAGTGATTCTGATGGAGTGGAAATCCACAACACCGCCAAATTTTTTTAAATGGTTAGCTAAAATGGTTTCTGCCCTCAAGTTGGAAAGGATCCACTTCTCTAGATTTGGCAAACAAAAGTTGTATGACAAAACATGGGGCCCCTTCCTTAGATGTATAGGTTATTAATGTTTCTGTAATATTTTTTTTCTGGTAATAATTTTTTTCTTCTCATTACTTCCTTTTTACATGTTATTCTATTTTGTTTCTTACTCCATCAGTCTGGCTAAAATTTCTTTATTGTTTTGTGATGGTGCTGTAAAATGTTGTTATGTTTGCTTGTGTTTTGGTGCATGTTCTAGTTAGTATAAAGTAATAACACCGAGACAAGTTTGTTAACATATATACATGATATACATTATTTGGTGTTATGTTTTTACAAAAACTTCTATAAATAAAGTATATATATATAAAAAAAGAGTAGTTAGCTTAAGTGTCCTCCTAGGCTTCAGTTCATGGCAGCAGGTAAACACCGTGGGGACGCTTCCCTGCTTCAGTCTATATAACCCGGTGAGTGATAAAACAATGCAGTCTTCTTTAGCACAGCCTTGTTGTTTCAAATTTTAGTACCGAAATTTAGTATTGTAACAAGTCTAACATAGTAAAAGAATCAGTTCATTAACATGACTTTGATAAACGGTATCTAAAATATGTGTTTGGAAAAGAAAACGTTAGCTAACTAGTGCCATTTCTCTTAACTTAGCTGAAAATGAGGTCTGATCTCCCTTCTTATTTTCACTATCCATTCAGAGCGGACCTTCGGGTCACTCGGAAGGTTGTGAAATTATAAATTTGTGGCACTTTTTTTCGCTAATAAGATATACAGCCAGGTACATAACAATACGCCATTATGAACGCCATTCCTGTGTGACTCTAGGCGATACTTCTGGGTTTCTTCCCACCGCAGCCTTACTTTCGCTTTTAAAATGGCAGCCGCATGAAATCAGTCTATCCCTTTAAATAAGCAGATGGTTTCAGCTGAATAATTTGTAATAATAATAATAATAAATAAATAAATATACATGAGTAAATACATTTAACATAAAGAAACTGTCTGCACCATTTTTGTCATGACAATAGGTTTCATTCAAATTTGTGAATTAAAATTTTCTAGTTTAGTTATAATCAATAACCAATCAAACTTTAAAATTTTATTGCGCACAAAGTAAATATATTTGTAAAAGGTCTTTCTATCATATCTATTCATGCATTTACTTTCCCAAGTCAAACAATGTGCATTTGAGATATTATTTTAATAACAATTATTTAATAACAATATGTTTTTAAGCAGTATTCATTGTGCTGAATAATATAATTTAAGCTGATTTATTTAATAAAGAAAAAGCATTTAATAATGAAAAAAGTCAAACCAAAAGATGGAAATCGTAGGAGAAAAAAAAAACTACCTTCACACAGAATGGGAGTCTGTTTTCTTTGAAAGCATAGAAGTTAAAAACCAGCTGCTGTCCAGCTTTGATCAGAGGGGCCAAATTGCCGTAGCAGTCCACGTAGATGGGCTTCCCTTCCAGGACCTTTAAAATTGCCAGTCATGTTTACAAGCCGTATGACATTTTATTTACTGTTAATGTGCAAAAATCGTAACAGTTTTACTTCGTACAATAAATATTCATCATGAAAGGTTTAGAAAAATCACATTAAAATATATCTACCTCTATGTCTTTGCTTCTGGCCACCTCCTCAAAGTTTTCCTGTTGTTCCAGAGTTTTGTCCACTTTATCATCCGTCATGCAGAAGCAGCGCAGGTTGGACTCCACGGGGTCATTCATTTTGGCAAACACTACAAACTTGGCCATGTAGGGCACACAGATAAGCTCTCTGTAGAGCTGGGTGGCCAAAGGTACAGTCTCTGGGGTCTGATGGCAGTCAGCGAGCCAAAACCTGGACACAAAGTTGGCAGTAACAAAAATCTCTTTTTTAAAATTTGGAGATTTGGAAAATAGATCGTACAAATAGATCATTGGAAAATAGATCTGTCATGAAGAGGACTTCATGACAGAGAAGGACATGAGTTGTCCTTGTACCTGGCAGACACGTTTGTGGTGAAGGACACGCAGTCGTTCATGAAGGTGAGAGGTGTAGTGCCGGTGATGTCCTCCCATTGAGCTGGTGATGTGCCACCTGTCAATAGATCCTTTATTAATAGGATTTTTTACATTTTCACCATCCTTAATTATTGTGCAACAAACTAAAGCCCTGGTAATGCTATAAAATGAGCATTAATATTGTCAGGGTTCTGCCACTCTGGTCTTGTAAATTCTTGTTTTGGTGGCAGAGCTCTGACACTAGCTCAGTCTCGTTCTCTTTCTGTCATTAGCCCCTTTCACACATACAGACCTTTCCGGAAAATTGCCGGCAATTTTCCGGAAAGGTTGTATGTGTGAACAGGTCCTTTTTGAAAATACCAGTAAATTCATTCTGGCTATTTTCCGGAAAGAGAAGTTGTAACATTACCAGCAATTTGCCGGAATGCTGCGCTGTGTGAATGCAGAAGGAAGATTACCGTAATAAGCGCGTGCACGTCTAGAACGTGCTGACGTGAGACGTCTGCTTTAGCCAATCACAACAGTCAGACGCATTTACAGTCTGTTATTACTGTGTAAATAATCATCGATGACATGCTTATGATAAGCCGTTGTTTGTTTACCTTTAAGCTTTGCGTGTGCCTGTGAAACAGCCTGTGAGCGCCAGCACACGCACATATTATGAACATCTCGACATGAGAAAGTGATCCTGTGAAAGTTGTTCACAATATTGATCATCCATAAAGTTTGTAATTTAGTCAAATGTTTACAAATACAAGCGCAGCCGTTTAAAGCTCATTTGTGGTGAATGATGTCAGAATTTACCGGTATTTTGGAATGGATGTGTGAATGCTCTTTTCCGGAAAATTTCCGTAACGTCCTCGCCTGTGTGAACAGCGCTTTTTTGAATATACCGGTAAAGTCGTTCCGGAAATTTTCCAGATATTTACCGGTATCACTGTGTGAAAGGGGCTAGTGTGTGTCTCTGTGTGTGCGCGCGCCGTTGTGGGTGTGCGCAGAGTGTGCGCGCTTCCGCTTGTTGCGGCCGCGCGGTCTTTGCGTGCCTCAGACGCTCTTGTACTCGTGTTTGTGTTTTCGTCTGTCTGCAGCGTGGAGTTTCATTCCCAGCGTCTCAATCCAGTTGGTTTCGGTTTTGGTCGGAGCTGGGATGAAACATGCACGCTGCGTGTGTGAGCGCACGGTGAGTGTTGTCATTTATCGTGTGCTCGTGTCTTGCGTCTGTCAAAGCACGTGGCTTGGTGTTTACATTGTAGTCACGTGCTTTTGTCGTGTGCTTCAGTGTTGTGTTTGTTGTCATGAACATGCGGTTAATGAGTTCTCTCATTGGCTGCATGTTCTTGTCCTGTTTTATGTGAGCGCATGGCTTGTGTTGTCTCTCTGTGTCATGTGCTCTCCCGTCTATTGCCTTGTCCCACCCTCTACTTGTTGACCCATTATTAGTTAATTGTGTTCACCTGTTTGTGTGTTAATTTTTTACAGTTTATAAACCCCTCACATTTGCTGTCCTGAGCCAGTTCGTCATCACATATTGTTGTTTGAAGCCCTGTCGTGTTTTCAGTCCTCATCCTTGGCAGTCTGCCCAGTCCTGTTTGTATGTGAATGTATTTGTTTTGTTAATGTTTTCCCCCTCGGGGTAGTTTATTTTGCATTTTATTTTATTTTTATTATTTAATAAATTCCCATTCCCCTGCATTTGAGTCCTTGCTCCTTTTTGATGCCTAATAGCAACATCAAATGACGTTGATATTTGGTTGAATTTAGGTTGTGTTTGAACATGACCAAAATCCAAGGTCGATCCAGCATCCTAAACACTGGCATGTTTATGTCAAATACTGACATTTATTCATCTGGTATGGCAACCAAATTCCAACATCTAATAGACGTCATAGTGGTAATGCCCACTCAATGTGTAACATCATTACACGTTGAAATTTGGTTGTTTTTAGGTTGCGTTAGAAAGTGACTGACATTGGACACTGACGCCGTTCTGACATTATGGCGACATTGGGGTACATTGTCAATCTGAGGTCATGTGCCTGCTGGGGTATTGCAGCACCTTGTTCGTGATTACATGAAGAATAGAGTTAGTTCTGAAGGCAACTTATACTAGCTTACACACACAAGGTGTTCCTAATAAAGTGGCAAAGTGGCCGATGAATGTATTTATGTCATTATTGATGACTACAAGCCAATCTCACCGGTTATACTGCAGAGTAAACGCAGGCTTAGTGTGGTGTCTCCTTGGTATCCATTCACCACCCCCTCTCCAGAGACTGGAGGCACAGGTATGATCATGGTGATGGGCTTATGGAACTTCCTCCTGCGTGGCTCCACGGTCACTATTGGGCTGAAGGTGGCACGATTACCAATAATCTTCTTCACAGCTTCATCTGGAACAGGTTGGGCCTGTTGAGAGACAGCAAGAAGATTTAAATTAATCTGCAATGTCTGCACATACAATACTGTGCAAAAGTCTTAGGCCACTAGTATTTTCACCAACAAAAAAAAAAAATTAATTCGGTTATTTCTATATTTTTTTTCAGCATGTCAGTTTGAATTATAAATTTACATTTACAAATAATATTATTGTCTTTAACTGTAATTCTACAGTTATTGTCTGCACACTGAGTCTGACAACAGCCAGCGCTCCACACAGAGATCTGATCTGGTCATCATTCAGTCTGTCTGGAATGACACGAAGAAACAGAACAAACTGATACAGATCCAGCAGAACTTTGGCAACACCACTAGGATGCTTAAAAAACTGACCTGCAAAGCTACCAAATAAAACTATGGGCAAGAGATTTAAATGCAAAGTATGATCATTCAAATTGTTGTAAGTTAATTGGTAAATAAAATTAATATTTTGTTATTTGTTATCTTGTCCTCATTTTACAGCAACAAGTGCAAAAACTTTGAACAGTACTTTCAAAGCATTGTAGCTTTGCAGGTAGGTCTTTTAAAGGATCTTAGAGATGTTGCATCTTACAGACTCCTTGTGCAGACAATAATCTCACTGTATAACTACAATTAAAATTTCAAACTGACATAACACAGAAAAATATAGAAATAACCGACGTTAAACCCTTTTTTATGGGTGAAATAACTAGTGGCCTAAGACTTTTGCACAGAACTGTACATCATACAATGTAAACATTTTAAGTAAATTATGTCTGTTTTCTACAATAATCCCAAACTCTCCCAACTCAAAATCATGTCATTGACTGAGTCAGTGTTTTTAAGTTAGACTTGGTTGAGATTCTAATAAAGAGCAATGTTTAAATAGTCAAACTCTAAAGTTTTCATAGATACTGTATGCTGAAGAGGAACAAAAACTGTTCGGTCTATTCAGGTGTTTTTATACAAAAACATTTTGCAGAGTAGAATGTCTTTTTATTGGATGATAAAGGTTCTTCAGATGCTATAGGTTCTTCAATTGGAGATTCTACACAACAAAAAATGCTTTTCTTACTTAGATTTTTTTGTCTTGTTTCTAGTCTAAATATCTAAAATTTCTTATATCAAGAAGCATTTTTTAGACAAGCAAAACATATTGCCTTGTTTTGAGAAATAATATGCCAATATTAAGTCAGTTTTTCCTTAAAACAAGCAAAATAATCTGCCAATGGGGTAAGCAAATTAATCTTGTTTTTTCTTTTGACGTAA